AAAAGGAAGAGCTCTCATAAGAGTTCCAGGGGAGGCAAGAAGAGGAAGATTAGCTTATCAGACAGGGAGGGGGAAACCATCGAAGAAGCCTTCCTATCCCTGGCCAAAAAACTCAGCAAGGTATTCCATCTCCGCCTTTCTTCCCGGTTCAAGTTTTTTCCTTCACTTTTACTGATATGCCTGCTCTCTTTTTATTTTTATTTTTACAGGCCGGGGTCATTTCAGAGGAGATTGGCCAAACATTAAAGGAGAAAGACCAGGTCTCCCAACTCACCCTCCTCCTTGATTCTGCTAAGTTAGAGATCAATGACCAGGCAGAAAGGGAGAGGAGACTTGAGGAAGAGTTGAAGGAAGAAAGGGCCCGGTTTGCTCTTCTGGAGGAGGAAAAGAAGAGAAAGATCGCCGAGCTCGAGGATGCGCTGGGCCAGGCTGAAGAATCTGCCCGGGCAAAGGAGGAGGCCTTTCCTTCTAAAGCTGCTGACTGGGCTGCGCGCCATCACACGGAGGTTGCCCGGTCCCTTCTCACTACCCCGGAGGAAACCATGGACTTTTTCAAAGTCATGTATCAAGAGCCGGAGGGGAAGAGGATGATAACGGAGATAGGGTCTTATGGATTCCAGTGTGGTCAGAAAGATGAGAGGTCTCTTCTTTATGCTAGACTTCTGAAGAGGGATCCTTCCTTTGACCCGGCCAAAATGAAGCTTCCAGCCCTCTACGAGGAAGAGCCGGCTCCCCCCTTTCCCCTAGAGTAGGTTAGGGTTTGAATTCAAAAACTTTAAATTTTCCCAAGGCCTGGAGGATGTCCGGCCTACTTCTGACTTGTGTAATATTATCTTTTGTTTGGCATGGTTTCCAATTTACCGGCTTGTTTCTTCTTTCAGTTTGCATGGTTGAACTCCTTTTCTATGCACGGTTATTGCTTTTCTTTTCTTTGTGTTGATTGCCTTTGAATGAACTTCCAAGTCAATAAAACTAACCGGCCTTATACCTTAGGAATCGTT